AAGCACATTGTTCTTTCCTTTCTCTGATGTGGAGGACAAGTTATGCTCTTAAACACTGAAAGCAGACAGTGACAGGCTCCTGTTACTGGTGTGTACACACACTGAGAGCCATTACAATCATTAAAGATTGTGTATTGACCCGGGCAGACCCTGGTCTCTGTGGACCGGGATGTGAAGTGGACCGGAAGGGAATGGGATTACAGTACTGTGTGCTCCTGTCAGCATAGTAGCATAACCAGGAAGAAATTATGTATTACACACAATGCTTGTGCCAAAAGTCATGTACAAGATGCAATATTTTAGAGTTACCTTACTGTACTGTTAATTGTTACCCATATTGCATGTCGATGTAATTAGTCGATGTAATTAGTCCTACAATATAGCAGTTACAATGTAAAAAATAAGAGGTTCAGCGTATTTAGGCATACTTATGTACTGTAATCAGACTACAATATCGACATCAACAATGTTAACTACTGTATCATATAGTTTACAAATTCTTTTAATATGCAATATAAATGGAGTTCAATCAGGCTTTTCTCTTCATAATGTATCTGCCACTGACAGCTCATCGGTTGATTGCATCCTGAAGTTGAAATTGAAAACACAAAGTGCTTCCTTTCTTCTTCTTGTCTTTTCCCTTCTGTCTTTCTTTATCTTTTTCTATCTCCCTACTCATTCTCCACCCATTACTGACAGTAGAAACGTGTAGAAAGCTACCGCTCCGGAGTAAATAACCATGGTACTATTTACCATGTAAGTTATTTAGCAGTGTTGTTTTCAGCTGAATCTAAGGCTTTGAACGCTTGCTGTTGTTCACTTACTTGTAGTGACGAAGCACAGCAGTCACATGTAATAATGGGCTTATGTTCTACATTTATCTTCATTGCCCTGGTTTTCATTTGCAGGACTCTTATCATCATTGGCTAATAATTCTTATATTTCGTTTTTTTGTTTACATAATGAATTATATTACATTAAATTATATTAAAGATTTAAATTGTCAATAAAATTGCCTTTAAATATGCTTTTGTAATTGGCATTGTTTTTAATTATGCAAATGGCACACCATACCATTTTAAATGACTTTATATTTCCACTACACTTTACTGAAGAAAAAAGGAAGAAATATAATGAAAAATATAGATATACAAAAAGCCTTTTCTTACTTTAATTCTCTCAGTTTTCTCCCCTCAGTTGAATTTGTACATACCTACGTACATGACCCCTTCTTTGGTTTTGGCAGCTGCCTCCTCCACCCCTGCCTTGGTTTTTTCGGCGGCGGCCACCACTCCCTCCTTAGCCATGGAGAATCCCTTCTTCAGCGCATCCATACTGGAGCTCGGATCTGGGCTTTATGTCCTTTAACTGGAAGTGGCTCTTGTTTTATAACTGGTGAATGGAGCTGTGTGTGCTCTGACTGCCAGTGTGGTAAGTGTGTTTGCCAGAGTGTGTGTGCAGCTCCTTTGAGAGTGGGATGGGCATTCAGTGCTCAGACAGATTGGGACACCCTTATCAAGAAGAGTAGCCAAGCGGATGGGGAGAAGAAGGCACGAGGGGGGGTTATAATAACAAGTGGGTGAGAGGAATGACAAGAAATGGATTCCACAAGAAGAAAGCTTTTTCGGTTTGGCCTGTTTTCTCTAGCCACCCATAATAAATGAGATTCACATACTGGAAGATTAAATTGTTAATGCTCAAATCCAGCATCAGCGCACAGCTTCATAAAACTATTAAACAACCTCTTCCCTTAATCCTGCCACAGCATATGCATGCAAGCCACAACACACACTTACACGCCAGCCAAAACTACTGTCATACACTGTCTACATCCAAACTATAGAGTCCTAGCAGTGTTATTTTAGTAATTATACTATTATGTATCAATATTTTGAATTAGCTTTTATTTGTATATTTTTAATTTTATTCATTTTTGGTTTTTATATAATTCTATACAACTTTATATTTATTTCAGTTTTACTTTTAGTAAGTTTAATAATTCAACTATTTAATATCAAAATGTGCAAGCTGCACTGCACTGACTTCCTCATGAGTGGCAACACTCCTCATGCTCACAGAGCCTGTCATATTCATCAAATAATAATTTCAGTCTGACATGAGTGTATAAATATATGTTTGCTGTAATCTAATATGGATCCTCTTTGTGT